AACTGACAGGGATGGAGCTATGTTCTAGGCAAAAAAGGGTGAATAAGATACTCTCCCTATTTTCAAGGCCACAGTCTAATATGGTTAGTCTTTCTTACACAAAGCCATAGATTGATGTCCCTTCTCATTACAAGCAACATATCTTTATTTCTGTTTTGTTGGCTTTATAAATGTCTAAACACAAGTAATCTTTATGGCCAAACCACAGTCCTTTTTATTCTGCTTTAGGTGTCCTGACCAGGACTTTTCTAGAACAATACTTACCCTGTAGCTGCTATTTTGTTAAAAACCTAGAAACTGCCTTCTCCTGTTTTTCTCTCTTGTTAATTGCATTTGTTTACATAAAATTTACAACAGCTATCAGGAACTGTATTTTGTTATCCCAAATTAGTGTTTCACAAACTTATTCTGGAACCTCAGCCTCCCTCAGATCAGTATAGCCTCCACTTACCTTGGAACTCAATAGTTTTGTTTTTATTAGGGCAATCTTACTAAAGGAAAAGGAAGCTAAGATCAACATGAAATGATATGGTAGTTAGCAAGATGATTCAAACATGTACAAAAGCTTGTTTTCCATCCAGATGTTATAGTATCTGACATTTCACTACTAGAGATTCATTCCTTTGTATTGTGTTCCTTACCATCTGCTGTAAGTGCTGGTAACATCACACTAATTTACACTGAAGGGACAAAGGTTATGTTCTAGCAAGGACTTCACTGCTATGGATGCGTTAGTGAAGATTTTTCTTCATTATTTTTAGTAACACTATCAACCATTTATTGATTGCCTAATGCGTAATGAAGTACTACACATTTCACAGTTCTATTATTTAATCTGTACAACAACTCTGTAAGACAGGTGTTATTATCATCCATATTTTACAGATGAGAGGAAGTTTAGGAGAGTAGTTAGAGAGCACTGGCTCTGAGAAGAGATCGAAACAGTTAAAATTTCACATTCATTACTTACTAGCACTGTGTCCTTGGAAAACATATAGTTTCATCACCTGTAAAACAAGGGCAATGGTCTTTTCCTTCTGAGTTTGCTAAAAAGATAAACAAATGCCTGACACAGAGTGAGTCTGAAATATAGGGGCGATATAAGAATAAGCAAACAATGATCAGAGGTCAAGCAACTTGCCCAAGACACCAACAAATAAGATCCCCATAGCCCGGACTGCCTCCATGACAGTGTGATGATTTTTGCAAAAAGTAGGCATGTCTCTACACCTCTGAGTCTTTCCAAAACAATTTAGGTAAATAAATATAAAACAGAAAGACAATAGTCACTATGATAATAGCAGACACGGCAAAATTGACTTATCTCCCCCAGAATGGGCCGTCTTTCCTAGCCTGCATCATTAAGGGCAGCTATGGATTCAGCAACAGCAGCCTCATTTCTCTTCCTGGCTTCATGTGGATTGGTTTTCCAGTCGACTGGTGACACTAATTCTCCTCTACTAGGAGCTCCATGAGTCAGTGGCAATACTGTGGCTGAGTCATGTTGGGTAAGCGATGATGCAGTCCTGAGACACTAGAGATAGCAACTAAAAATGACCTCTGTTGTCTCCACACTGCTGGCTCCATACCCTCACATTAGTATCAGCAAAGAATGTATTTCCTGGCTCACGAGTAGGAAATGTAACTGTTAAGAAAGATATGATTATACAACTGAGAAGAAGAAACTGAGAGAATAAGGCTCCTACTCATGCTGGGATTGGGACTGAACATAAGTCTTTCATTTTGCTTTTTAGTTTATTCAACTTGGCACTGCAGACAACTAATGATTTCCAATTCCAACATTTTAAGTCCCTTTTTCTCTTACTGACATATTTTTTTCTCATCTAGCAATTTTTATTGCCCCAGACCTAGTCTTTTGTGTCCAGTATTTTGCAAGAACTATCAGAATAATCAAACGTAAACTTTAAGAAAAAAGTTGCTTTCTTCTACTCTCTCCTAATACCTCCTGCAGGGATATAAGAGATTGTCTATCTCTTCATTATTTTAACAAGGCTTCTTTTCCTTATACCACTAAGGTTGTGTAATGATCTTCCCTAATTTTATTCCTTGGGCCTGAACAAGTCTGATAACTCAGTTTCCAAAGAAAGAAAAGGAAGTCTAAATCATCAACCAACTTTCTCTTTACTGAATGTTCTGTTTTTTTGAAGAAGAAAACCTTTCATTTGGTAGAAAATGCCACTTGGTTATGACAAACACTCGTGAAACTCCTGTCTTCTTGAAAATAGCGAATATCTTAAAATTCACAAAATTTTTCACAGATTATAAGAAATTAGTTGGAATAGGTGTGCTCTTAAAAGCCAAACTTCCTGAGCTCCAGCTCTGCTTTTCCTGCTGTCTCTCCAGCAGGATCATGTGGCGGTCCTGCCAAAAACACATTCAACTGGTTCAAAGCTTAAATCTCTACCCTATCCTCCAACTTTCTTCTCACAGAAAAGGGCGCCCCCAGCTTGCCATGCAGATGTCTCCAGGTTCTCCCTCCCCTCACCACTGATACCCAGTTCATCACCAAGCACTGTCAGCACTCTATGTCAGTGGTTCTTGTTTCTGTCTCCTCTTTCTCATTGTCACTACTTGGCCCTCTGAAATGACCTATTGTAGGAACCTCATCAATGGTCTTCTTGCCTCCTCTAATATCCTTGACACAGTCACCAACATTATCTTTCCAAAACACAGAACAGTTTCCAGCTGCCTACAAAATGTTATCAAGACATAACCTGGTAGCCACCTTGCTTCCTGATTCCCTCTCATTACATCCTCCCCACACTTTGGATACTCCAGCCACACTGAAAAACTCACTGTTGCCCAAACATGCCCATCTCATTGCTCAAAGTACTTCTTCCTTCTCAATGCCTCTCCAACTTTATTTTTTTAAGAGATGGAGTCTTGCTATATTGCCCAGCTGGAGTGCAGTAGCTATTCACAGGCACACTTTTAGCACACTACAGCCTCAAATTCCTGAGCTCAATCATTCCTCCTGCCTCAACCTGGACTACAGGTGCACACCACTGTGCCTGGCTATGTCCCCTAACTTTTTCAAAGTAATGTTACTCTTTCTCTTGTTCGTGCATGATGTACATATAACATTTCATCATAGCAACCAGTGTGATCTTTTTTACAAAACCATCAAATAATACATTTTCTCTGCTTAAATTTTATGAGCTTCCTCTAAATTCAGAATGATAGATCAGATACTTCTAATCTATCGTGTGTATTATACAAGGCTCTGCATTTTTCTTGCTCCTGTCTCCATCTCTAGATCTCACTTGTACCACTGTTCTCGCTCTCTATGTTCCTGTCACACAATTTCATTTTTATTCTGTAAAACGCCAATGTCATCCTCACCCTATGGTCTTTGCACTACAATTCCCTCTTCCTGGATTACTCTTCCCACACAAATTAACATGACTGACTTGTTCAGACCCTCAGAAGAGCACTCCACTGAAAATAGCCAACACCAACTCACTGCCAAAAAACTTCCTAAATTTTTTTCTAGCACCCGTCACTATCAACATCTCAAATGATTTTATGTATATATTTCCTTTATGTTCTCATCTGTCTCTTTCCAACAACAGGTAAGCCCCTTGAGGACAGGTTGCTTATGGCTTTGTCCATCACTGAATCCTCAGCACCTAATACAGACCGTGACACATTTGATGAGTGTATATTAAGAGAATTAAATGGAAAATACAGCCCTTGTCATGTATTATCTCATTTTAAGTTGTGTACATATCCATCTTTCTCCCTAGACTGTAATCGTCTTGAAACCAGGGACTATGTACTAATTATATGTATATTCCCCCACAGCAATATCCCAAATTGTCATAGTAGGTATTCAGTAAGTTTTCTGGTTGGAATTGAGTTGAGTAACTCTGTCCTTCACTGAGCTATCCTTATCTCTCCAAATTTAAGATCTAGTAAGTTTGACCCCAGCCTCAGCTCTGTCAGTTAAGAGCTGTGTGACCACAGTCAAGTAACTAAACTTCTCTGACTCTCTCTGATTGCTTATATGAAAAACAGAAATAATTACATTTTCTCTACCTAATTCCAGGGTAGTTGTGGGGATTAAATTAAATCACATATGCTCTTTCTTCTCATTAAACTGCAAACAGTTCAAGGTCTGAGATAACAGTTGTTTCTTTTTTGCCTAATGTATACAGAACAGCCTCATGCTGTGTGCACATAGGTCAATCAATAATAGCCATCATTTATTGTATAGCTACTATGTGACAGACACTGTAAAAAGCACCTTTTATAGGATACATCTTATTTAATGTAATCATTAAAACCATTATGTAAGAATATAAATTGGTATCCCCATTTATAGATGAGAAAAATGGCACCTACAGAAGGTAAGAAATGTTCACAAAGCCATACACTTAGTCACTGGCAATGCTGGGACTTGATAGCACATCTGTGTGAACAAATAAGTATATCTGCTGATACTTGTCATCTGTTCAAACTACCCAATATCCAGACAATTTTTCAGAGTTCCTCAACTGCTTTGGTGTTTACTTGAAGCCAAGAAAATCCTTTCAGTCTTTTTCTTTCAAGTCCTCCCACCCACAATACTAGTACAGCCAAGGAACAAACTCACGGCCTGAATTTGGCCATGTTCTCCCAGAACATTAAGTCTTGATAAGGGTGACAATGGAAAGAGGAAAGAAAGAGAGTTCATTCTTACCAGCAACGGTTCTTGTGCAACACTGCCCTGCAGTTTCCTCCAATCAAAAACTTCTGGCACTGCCTTTTCTCTTCTAAACCTGGTTCTCCAATCCTATCTTCCTTACAGTCAGATCCCAACAGCCTTTCGATAAATTGTTTTTGTTATTAAATTGGCCAGTTTCTGTTACTAGCCTAAACAGAACCTCAACTGATACAATATGCAAAAAGAAAAATAATATGAACACATAATGAATTCTCAAAATATATTTAATGAAGAAATAATCAATATGCTAATGAATGAGTAATCCCTACTCATATGTAAGGGTGTAAAATGTTAAATAATAGGCTAAGTACTGCATGAAAATACATCATAAACAAAATTCACACGGTAGCATATGATTAATTGCCAAATTAATAGCCCAGGCTGTACGTGCTGGATATCAGAGGAGAAAAACACAGCAAGCTTGAATGATCCAGCAAGCCTACATAACTTAATAAATACTTGTTGAATTAAGTCCTGATATCATTCCCTAAGGCAAACCTAAGGAAGCTAATGAATGCAACGTTCCTTCTCTTAGAGACATAAAGCCTGGGGTATTAGAATGTTTCAATACATAGTCATTTGAACTATTCTTCTTCGGAGCTGTGCAATTCAGCAAAGGCATGTTACAGAAAGACAGGTTTCTGCCACAGTCGTCTTAAGTACTTTCAGTCAACAAGCCTAGATCAAGTGACCACAGGGTCCCAGACATCAGTCAAGGTGTTAGGAACACATAGAGAAGTAAAATTCTGACAGCCAGAGTGCACCATCTAAGTGGAAAACAGAGACACAGGGAGCATATTATGAAAATAGTACATAATTGCAGATAGAGAACTGCCCAGAAATTGAGGAAGCTCTCAGAACGGAAACTTTATCCAAGTTGAGGAGGGGAAAGCCTTTTGAAGGAGAGTTGACTAGCTAGGTCTTAAAAAATGGACAGAATTGACAAAGGAAGAGGCAGGAGAAGGGTATCCCAGGAAAAGAGGCCAAGATAAGCAAGATAAATAAGCAAATAATATAAGCGAAACCACCATGGTATGTACAGGTGTGATGTGAGACAGTCAGTGACAGGAGATCAGGTCCAAAGAGAAGCAGGAGATGAACCATGGAGGGTCTGGTTTGTGATAACACTGTAGACACTGGGACATAAAACCCTAATTGACTAGATCTGAGTCTCAAGGATGCCTGTGGAGGGTGGAGAGGAATCAGTGTCACTCAAACCACAAGACCTGAATGTGAGTGGGTTGATGCCTGGAGGATTATCTGGGAGCTATTACCAGAAAAGTGAATAGATGCCAAATGAGAAAGAGCTGATACTACCTATTAATATTTTTCCTAAATGGAGGACTAAAATGGCTTCCTAGCAATCGATTAGCAATAGATCTCAATAATAATAATTTATGTCTTTTACTCTTGAATAGTAATTTAAGCTTCACGATGTGTAGGAACCTCTATAAATGTGCTGGAGTATGAGTACCTTAAGGGCAAGGACATTATCTGTATTATAACCATCATGCCTCATACGCAGCAGGTACTCAACTAAATGTGTTTAATAAATAAGTGAATTAATGCATATAATACCTCATTTCATGTTTGCCATCAATTTTATAAGGTAGGGGTTTCTCTTTCCATTTCCTAAATAGATAAATTATATAGGTAATTAATTAATAAAATTTTGGTGTGGAAATATATATTTTAATTATTTACTTTTATGGATACTGAATAAGAATAAATGACTCTAAATCTAGAAGAAAGAATTATAATTGGATTTACAAAAGGACTTCTTAATTCTAAGGTTTATAAAAATTAAAACTACTTTCCCAGAAAGGCCATAACTCTCCTACTCCAAAGATGTTTTAGGCCAAGTAAGATGTTAGTATTAATGAAGTTTGCCTTCTTCAAAGCAGGGAGATGGACATGCTGAGCTTCAACAAATTAGTCTATAATTTCTCTTATAACGCTGCAATGTTTCCTAGAAAAAGAACAAAAAAAAAAAAAAAAAAAAAAAAACTTAATGGCTGGTTTCTTTTGCTATAGCGACACCTATTGTTATTGCTGGTACTTTGTTTTTAAGAAAGAAATATGTGGAAAAATAACACATTTCAGCTCTAACAAAAAGGCTGTGAATATGAATTTTTATTTTAGTGGTAGGGATCTTTTCTAGCATCTCAGAAATGAATTTTTTTTTTTTTTTTTGAGACGGAGTCTTGCTCTGTCGCCCAGGCTGGAGTACAGTGGCCGGATCTCAGCTCTCTGCAAGCTCTGCCTCCCGGGTTTACGCCATTCTCCTGCCTCAGCCTCCTGAGTAGCTGGGACTGTAGGCGTCCGCCACTTCGCCCGGCTGGTTTTTTTTTTTTTTTTTTTTTGTATTTTTTAGTAGAGACGTGTTAGCCAGGATGGTCTCGATCTCCTGACCTCGTGATCGGCCCGTCCCGGCCTCTCAAAGTGCTGGGATTACAGGCTTGAGCCACCGCACCCGGCCTAAAAGTGAAATATTAAAAGCAAAAATTCAAGGGAACTTGACCATATGAAAAGACAGACTTTATAGCTTTCAGCACTCATCTATGTGAAGGAATACTCTTGTTACATATAGATGATGACCTAGATACAGATATAGATATACATAGAAATATAAAATAATGTATGATAAGATCTACATAGATATCAATAGCTATATATGAGCTTAACTTTCCTACCTGGTCTTCCACATTATCATAAAACCACAATAATTAGTAAGAATAAAATCACTCAATATGCATATTTTGAAGAGAACATTAGACTATGGCACTATGAAGGACAGAAAGAAATAAAAGGATAGAGAGAAATGTATTAATAAGCAAGTTGGCAGATATTCTACACATATGCAAAAACAGTATCAGAATATGAGTTTCATATATAAATTCTACAATGATTTAAAAGGAATCACAACTTGCAACTTTGGTCATTACACAGGACTCAAAAATAGCTAAGAAATATGAACCATATTTTTGGTTGTATTTATAGAGACAAAGAAGAACTGGGAGAAAATTCTGGGCAGATGAAAGGAGTCAAGTTTCAAAAAATTGTGAAGTCAAGACTATTCAATATGCATTACAGACCATGCTTGGATTAGTTTGCTTAGAGCTGAGATTCTAGAGAATTTCTAGAGTGAGCATTGAAAACAGTGGATTCATAACTTACCATGAAGTGTGTTGAATGCCAGGCTAAAGACTTGGTCTTTCATTCTATTTAGTAATAAGATTTTGAAAGATTTTGATCATGAGGATGATACTAAGTAAGTAGCATTTGGGGGATAATTTGGTTGGAAATATGAAGGACCATAAAAGATAGAGAGAAATATGAACAGCTGAGGGTTGCTGTACAGGGATGAGATTGTAAGAATCTGAAATAGGCTGGTTTTGCTGAAGGCAGTAAGAAAAAAGCATAAATGTGAGAAATGCTGCCAAGATTAAGTTTAAAGGATTTGGTAAGCAGCAAGAATACAGGTGTTTGGCCCTAGCGTAGATGTAGGGTACAAAAAGCAAGTAAGCAAATAGAATAGCGACTCAGATAGATCAGCTGTCCTGCAGTCTCAACCTTTCAGGATGGCACCCAATGGGGAGGAAGGGTAAGTACCTCTAGAAGAGGAAAAGAAAATCACAGCAAAATTGTTAAGAATAGAAGAGCTGAAAATTACACAGAATATGCTATGATTTGTCGATTTGTTACATTAAAAGAAAGGATACTCTCTAAACAGTTAGTAATGACTGTAAGAGCCAAGCCAATTTGTGCAAAATCCAAGCCGTCTGAACCAAGTAACAGAAAAAAGTAGAGAGAGAGAAGAAAAAGGAAAAAATAAGCAAATGGCAAACAGCCAAGATGATAAGCAACAGAAATGGCAGGGGAGAATGGAAGCATTGGAAGTGACAAACATCTGTCACTCTGACAAAAAGGAAAAACAGAGTTAGCAATGGAGAGAGAGATGCTAGCACAACTCTCAACTCTAGCATGACTACAAAATTAAATGGGTATCATTTAATCATCATTATAATGACTGTTTACGTGAACAAAAATTAAGAACCCATGTAGTCACAAGTCCAGATTTAGTTCTGAATGCAACAGATAGAATATTAGAGATACAGACATCAAGGAATGGGGGAAGGAAAAAAATTTAGTGGAAAGAAAATCCAAGCCATGTAAGCCATCTCCCAAGGCCCTTGCCATCTGTTGTATGGAAATGTATTCCCCTAGATTTCCCCATGGTCAGTTCCTGCACAAATAATCACCTTCTTGACATCACCAGCTAAATTCACCACTCACCCATGCAAGTTTTTTAGGGAACTTGCCACTACCTGAAAACATATTTTTGTCCTTATTTTTGAATATTTTGTTTTCTGCCTTGATCTGGAATGTAAGCTCCATATAAGCAGGCACATTTTCTGTCTTATTTTATCATATAGCATTGAAAAATGTCTAAATATTTGTTGAATGAATAGATGATCATATTTTCACATTAATGTTCTAAGATCACACAGAACTGGCTGAAATTCTGACTTGGCTATCTATAGGTTTATAGTAGACACCTTCTTTCTTCCCAGCATATTTTGGAAAATGTCCCATCCCCAGTCTCAGTCCAGGTGACTCAGGAGTCTGACCCCACTTTCCAGCACCAACAGCGACATCTATTACAAGATGTGTTGCTCAGAGGATACAATCACCCTGGTCACAGTAGACTGTTCATGGATTGTCACTGAACCCAAATCCAGTCAATTCAAACTCATCCCCAGGATTTTTTCCAGAGCTATCCAATCAGTCTATATTCTGAGATCTCTAGAAGTAGAATGTAAGTGTAAAGCGATCAGCATTGATTTTTGCTACTGCATAGGAAGAGGCTGCCAGAAAAAGAATTCAGCTGGAAGGGAAAGCTGAGAAATGTTAAATGAAAGAGAGAGAGAGAGAAATTTCTGATGACATGGTTTGAATCCCTAGATCCAAAGATGCCAAAATTTTAACCTTTTCAGCTTTCCGTGAACATGAGACAATCACAATTCTCATTTGAGCTAGTTTGAGTTGGATTTATCTCACTTTCAATAGAGTCTGGTTAGTGAAAATTGTGAGAGACT